GAATTTCGTTACCGTTCGTTTTATATTAGGTTAAATAAGTAAATTACCGACGCTAAAATAAGAAGAAATAAAAAAAGTAAATAATTTACTTACCGTCCATTTCATATTAGGTTAAATAAGTAAATTAACGACGCTAAAATATAAAGAAATAAAAAAATAAATAATTTACCGTCCATTTTATATTAGGTTAAACGTCAATACCGACACTAGAATATAAAGAAATACGAACAAAGGAAGAATTTAGTTTTTTTATTATTATTATTTTATTATTATTAAAAACAATAATAAAAAATAAAATAAAAACGTCAATTAACGACGCTAAAATACAAAAAATACAAACAAAGAAAAAATTTAGTTACCGTCCATTTTATATTAGGTTAAATAAGTAAATTAACGACACTAAAACATAAAGAAATACAAACAAAGGAAGAATTTCGTTAGCGTCCGTTTCATATTAGGTTAAATAAGTAAATTAACGACGCTAAAATATAAAGAAATAAAAAAGTAGATAATTTACTTACCGTCCATTTTATATTAGGTTAAACGTCAATGAACGACGCCAAAATATAAAGAAATACAAACAAAGAAAAGAATTTAGTTGCCGTTCGTTTCATATTAGGTTAAATAGGTAAATTAACGACTAAAATATAAAGAAATAAAAATAGTTACCGTTCGTTTCATACTAGGTTAAATAAGTCAATGAACGACACTAAAATATAAAGAAATAAAAAAGTAGATAATTTACTTACCGTCCATTTCATATTAGGTTAAATAAGTAAATCAAACAACACTAAAACATAAAGAAATACAAACAAAGGAAGAATTTCGTTAGCGTCCATTTCATATTAGGTTAAATAAGTAAAATAACGACTAAAATATAAAGAAATTAAAATAGTTACCGTTCGTTTCATACTAGGTTAAATAAGTCAATGAACGACACTAAAATATAAAGAAATAAAAAAGTAGATAATTTACTTACCGTCCATTTCATATTAGGTTAAATAAGTAAATCAACAACACTAAAACATAAAGAAATACAAACAAAGGAAGAATTTCGTTAGCGTCCATTTCATATTAGGTTAAATAAGTAAATTAACGACGCTAGAATATAAAGAAATACAAACAAAGGAAGAATTTCGTTTTTTATTATTATTATTTATTATTATTAAAAAGATATTTAAAAAATAATAAAAAAAAAACGTCAATGAACGACGCCAAAAACATAAAGAAATACAAACAAAGAAAGAATTTCGTTTTTTGTTATTATTATTTATTATTATTTAAAACAATAATAAAAAAATAAAAAAACGTCAATCAACAACACTAAAATATAAAGAAATACAAACAAAGGAAGAATTTCGTTAGCGTCCGTTTCATACTAGGTTAAATAAGTAAATTAAAGACGCTAAAATATGAAGAAATAAAAAAGTAAATAATTTACTTACCGTCCATTTTATATTAGGTTAAATAAGTAAATTAACGACTAAAATATAAAGAAATATAAACAAAGGAAGAATTTCGTTATGTGTCCGTTTCATATTAGGTTAATAAGCAAATTAACGACGCTAGAATATAAAGAAATACGAACAAAGGAAGAATTTCGTTTTTTATTATTATTATTTATTTTATTAAAAAGATTATTAAAAAATAATAAAAAAAAACGTCAATGAACGACGCCAAAACATAAAGAAATACAAACAAAGCAAGAATTTCGTTTTATTATTATTATTATTATTATTTAAAAAATAAAAAAATAAAAAAATAAAAAAAACGTCAATTAACGACACTAAAATATAAAGAAATATACAAACAAAGGAAGAATTTCGTTTTTTATTATTATTATTTATTATTATTAAAAACAATAATAAAAAGAATAAAAAAAACGTCAATCAACAACACTAAAATATAAAGAAATACAAACAAAGAAAAAATTTAGTTACCGTCCATATTATATTAGGTTAAATAAGTGAATTAACGACGCAAAATATAAAGAAATATAAACAAAGAAAAAATTTACTTACCGTCCGTTTCATATTAGGTTAAATAAGTAAATTAACGACGCTAAAATATAAAGAAATAAAAAAAATAAATAATTTACCGTCCATTTATATATTAGGTCAATCAACGA